TCGGTATCAAAAGCTTTGCTCAAGTCAAGCCAATTTTCCTAATAAATAAAGAGATGCTGCCAGGTCAAATTTAACCCAAGATCTAATTTTAACACAACGTATTTCCAAACTTTTTTCTCCAAAGGAAATGTCAAAACACTGAAAATAGGTTAAAGGTATTTGATCAGAAAAAGAATTTTCAGATTAAGAAATAAGGATTAATAAGGATACATATACCCAGTGAAACTTCCCTCATTATGATGGCTGTTAACATGTGGTTAAAAATGTCAAAAATTGGAGATGTAAGAAGTGGCCAACATCTCTCTTCCAATTCCAGATTTGTTCCCATAATATATTCCTCAGTGTTTTGTGCAGGCCAGTTTAAATGAACAAGCAATAAAGGTGCACTCTAAACTAATTGGTAATATTGCACCTTAAGCCCTTAAATAAAGACAGGGTATCTTTCTAAGAGGTGTACTATAAATAACTCAACCAAATATTAGAGGTTAGATGCAGAAATTACTAGGTAAGAATATGTTACATATGTTATATAGGTCAGACAATATGATCATAAATTAGGGCTGTTGATTAATCGCAGTTAACTCACAACTGATTAAAAATAATTGTGATTATCACACTGTTGAACAACAGAATACCAATTAAATTTGATTAAATAATCATGGATGTTTCCCTATATTTTCAACTATATTCGTTTCCATTACAACACAGAATACATAGTGTACTCACTTTATATTAATATTTTGATTATCATTTTACAGTGGAAAAATTTGTAAAAAAATAGTATTTTTCAACTCACATCATACAAGCACAGTAGCGTAATTTCTATCATAAAAATATAACTTACAAATGTAGGAGGTTTTTTATTACATAACTGTAGTCAAACCAAAACAATGTAAAACTTTAGAGCCTGTAAGTCCACTCAGTCTTACTTTTTGTTCAGCCAATTGCTAAGACAAACAAGTTTGTTTACATTTATGAGAGATACCAATGCTGCTTCCTACATACAGTACCACCTGAAAGTGAGAACAGATGTTCACACTGCACTTTTGCAGTTGGCATTGCAAGGTATTTACGTGCTAGATATGCTAAATATTCATATGCCCCTTCATGCTTTGGCCACTATTCCAGAGAATGTGTTTCCAAGCTGATGATACCCATTAAAACAATAATACATTAATTAAATTTGTGATTTAACTCCTTGAGAGATAAGTCTATGTCACCTGTTCATTTTTACCTGCGTTCTACTATATATTTAATGTTATAGTAGAGTTTTTAAGAACACTTTCACAGCAGATTTGACAAAATGCAAAGGTACCAATGTGTTCTAAGTAACACTTGATCCAAGGTTTAAGAATCTAAAATGCTTTCAAAAAATGTTCTTTTAAGACTTTGAAAGCAGAACACACTGAAGCAGAAACTATAGAACCTGAACTATCAAAAAAGAAAATCAACCTTCTGCTGGTGGCATCTGACTCAGATGATTAAAATGAACATGTGTCGGTCCTCTCTGCTTTGGATCACTATCAAGCAGAACATGTCATCGTCTACTGGAATGGCAGCTGAAATACGAAGGGCATATAAATCTTCAGCACATCTACTTTCACTTCTGGAGGTAGGGAAGTATTACATCCTCCTTTCTACAGATGAGGAAGCTGAAAGAATGAGATCGCTCCAAAGGAAGCCTGGGTCAAAGCTGAGAACTGAACTCCTGCCAACAGTTCTGTGCGTCAGCCACATGACTATCATTTATTATTTTAATCACATATTGTGTGTTGAACTCAAATTCTCAGGATAAAATATGCAGACTTTCCATTATCCTCGTACCTTTTTCCAATAATTAGGAGTATTTCTGAAGTGTCATCTCCAATAAATGATATAATTGCTATTTAATGCCCCCCCAGTCCTGAGAGCTCTATGGAATGTGCCACACTGCCCCCCCAGTCCTGAGAGCCCTCTGGAATGTCACACTGCCCCCCCACAGTCCTGAGAGCCCTCCGGAATGTGCCACACTGCCCCCCCACAGTCCTGAGAGCCCTCCGGAATATGCCACACTGCCCCCACCCAGTCCTGAGAGCTCTATGGAATGTGCCACACTGCCCCCCCAGTCCTGGGAGCCCTCCGGAATATGCCACACTGCCCCCACTCAGTTCTTTGAGCAGCCCAGAGAGTGCTGTGTGGTGCTTCAGTGGCAATTCAAAGGGCCTGGGGTTCTGGGCCCCTTAGAACTGTTGGACCCCAGGACAGTTGCCCCCTTTGTTGCCTTCCCCATTGGCAGGGGGTGGGTACACACACATGCTTTCATTGGCCTGTGGGTGTTACGTCAGGGGGAGAAATCACCCCGGCCCTTACAGGTCCTGGCCATGACTAGTATCATCCCCTATAAAGTCTCCTTTTCAAAAAGTGTAAGGAAACCAGTAACTCTGTGTTGCAAAGAGAGAAAACCTGGCACCTGTTTATCTGCAGCTGAATTTCAGCTCCTAATGTTGCCTCAGGTCAAGCAAAGAATCCAAGGTCACGGGACAGAATAAGGGCTCTTGGTTCATCTGTCTGTTTGTCAGAAATTAGGGAGGGAAGAGGTATTGACACCCTAAATAAACCCATCCCATTAAACTGCCCATTGCCAGTTCTTTCCTCCTTCACCAGCCCTAGGGTTAATTCTAATGGAGTTGGGCCAATGCAGACAGGGCTGGCAGCGTTGTTGTGTTTTGGAAGTGGGCTTGGTCCTGCTTGCAGATGTCCCTGCCTGAGTGGTATAAACTCAGAGAGGGGACGGGGCTGCACCTGTGCAGGTTCTGATAGCGCCTGAAGGAAGGAGGCGAGCACACAGGAGCAACCATGTGTTTGAAATATTCTCTGCATGGCAGACCAGGTAAGTGACAATGCAGCATTTCCGTCTCTGGCTTTCCACAGCTGGATGCGTGTGACCAGGCGTATCCGGATCTCAGCTTAGCCCAAAGAAGGGACTGGGAATGTTGCAAAGCTCCTGGGGCAGTTCCTAGAGTTACTGTGAATGGTGCTGCAGATGGGCTGTGGCAGAAGTTACTCCAGGAGTCTGCTGAACAGGTAACATATGTGCACTTGCTGTATAATGGTGCCTATGTAGAACGACAGCAGGGGTCAGCAGTGATCCGAGCACAGGGCTCCTGAATTCTGAGCCTGACTTTGTCTCTGACTTCCCATGTGACCATGGATAAGTGTCTCCCCTTCACTGGGCTTTAGTTTCCCCATCTGTAAAAAGGGGACGCTGCTGCTGACCAGCCTGTGAGGGAATTAGGCAGGTGTTGGACAGACCCGAAGTGTTAGGGCTTATTAACTGCAGAGGAGGCGTTTCCACTGGACTGAAATGTGTGTGCGTGTTTGCCAGATTTGTAACACACTCTGCACACAATACACCCGGGACAGAGAGGCACACAGCGCATACCCACATACATTCTGCACACACACTACCCACCGGTCTGTGCTGTATTCCCCTCTCCATGCCCCTGGAGCACTCAGACCCACCAGAGAGCTTGTCCACATGAGACAGTGCTAGCAGCCTAATGCCAATTGGCTTTTAAACAGACCAGCATGGAAGCAGTGCAGAAGGCAGGGTAACCCTCTTTCCCAAAGGGAAAATGTGACACTGCATGGACTCGCACACACACTACCCACCGGTCTGTGCTGTATTCCCCTCTCCATGCCCCTGGAGCACTCAGACCCACCAGAGAGCTTGTCCACATGAGACAGTGCTAGCAGCCTAATGCCAATTGGCTTTTAAACAGACCAGCATGGAAGCAGTGCAGAAGGCAGGGTAACCCTCTTTCCCAAAGGGAAAATGTGACACTGCATGGACTCACCCGTGGGAGCTGGCCTGCCCCACCCTTTCCTGTGGCTGAGACTGGCCCGTGCCACCTGCTGTCTCTGCTTTCCTGAGCTGTTGCTGCTCAGACTCCACCCCCGTCAGCAAAACTGGGTATTTATCCCAGCCGATGACCAGTGGGCAAATGGAACAATGCTGAGTTTTGCCCCCCAAAATCAGGACTCCCAGGATAGGATGTAAAAAGAGGATGTATGGCCACCCTACTTGTCCTACAGGAGGAGGAGCTTATTTTGGTTCTACTTTAACTTGGAATCCTAGGGCTGGAAAAGACCTCAGGAGTCATTAAGTCCAGCCCCCTGCCCAAAGCAGGGCCAACTCCAACTCAGCCATCCCAGCCAGGGCTTTGTCAAGCCAGGACCTCTAAGCTACGTCTATACTGTAGCCTTCTTCCGTAAAGCTTATGCAAATGAAGCGCCGAGTGGAATATCACCATGCTTCATTTGCATAATTAACTAGCAGCTGCTTTTGTGCAAGAGGCTTTTGCGCAAAAAGGAGCTGTGTAGATGGCTCCTGTGGAAACCATTTCATATTTAGCTAGAAGCCGTTTGTATCACAGAAGCCATTTAAGTTGCCTGCTTCTGCACGTACACTAGAAAGCGAACTGACAATCACCGATGTGAGAAAAGCCAGGAGGATGAGCTGTTGGAATGCGTTAATGAACTATTTTGCGCTGAAGCTCCTACTCCCTAATACCTGTTTCTTTCTTTGCTGATAGTAGTTTCTCTTTGAAGTTCGCTTGATTTCTTGCCCTGACGTCAGACTTGTTTGGTTAAGGGTATGAAATACTGGATTGATTGTGTTGAACAGCCTGACTGGGCCCGGTTCTGCCAGGGTCACGTGTGGCTCACTTTGTGCCTTATTGATCAATAAAGCTGTTTGTTAGCCACCTAAACACATAGAAATCTTTTACTTCGACAGCTCCTTTTTGCACAAAAGCCCCCTCTTGTGCAAGAGCCGTTCTTCCTGAAAAAAAAAGTGGAAGAACAGCTCTTGCGCAAGGGGGGGTTTTGCGCAAAAAGCAGCCGCTCATTAATTATGCAAATGAGGCCCAGCGATATTCCACACTTTTTCTTGTGCAAAACAGTGCAGTATAGACATAACTACATCTACACTACGGCTTTTGCTGGAAGAGGCAATGCAAATGAAGCAGGGATTAGCATTTTCATGCACTTAGGGTGGGAAAGTCAGAATCTGAGTTTTTTCAACTTCCTCAAGGGAGGTTCCAAAGAGGATGGAGAGAGGCTGTTCACTGTGGTGGTGGATGGCAGAGCAAGGAGCAATGGTCTCAAGTTGTGGTGGGGGAGGTCTAAGTTGGATATCAGGAAAAACTATTTCCCTAGGAGGGTGGTGAAGCCCTGGGATGGTTCCCTAGGGAGGTGGTGGAATCTCCATCCCTAGAGGTTTTGAAGTCCCGCCTTGACCAAGCCCTGGCTGGGATGATGGAGTTGGGGTTGGTCCTACTTTGGGCAGGGGGCTGGACTCGATGACTCCCGAGGTGTTTTCTAGCCCTGGGATTCTATGATTCTATCCTATTGGGGGGAGGAGGAGAGGGAGCAGGGACTAATGTTTAAAGCCAGGGACCAGGATTCAGGTTTCTGGATTGTGTTCATAACCTTGCTGCCAATCCCTGTGTGATCCGGGGCAAGTAGGTGCTGGGAGAATGGGGATAAAAGTTCAGAAAGAGTCACAATAACAACACATGGTAGGGTGGCCAATGCTGACTGTCCAATCACAGAAACTCAGACACCCTTATCCCCGCCCCCCTGAGATCACACCTTCCCCTGCTCATTTCTTTATGCTCCCCCACTGTCACTCACTTCCATCGGGATGGGTGCAGGATCTGTGCGAGGGGCGGGAGGTTTGGACTGTGGGAGGTGACTCTGGGCTGAGAATACAGCAGGGTGTAGGAGAGATGGGGGGAAATTTGGATTGCAGGAGAGGGTTCAGACAGTAGCATATGGAGACCCCCAGGTTCCTGCTCTCCCCCCACCTAGGGGCCTCAGGGACATACCAGCTATTTCCAGGAGCTGCACAAAATCTGCTGCGTCCCTGGATGGTTTTCAGTTTGAAATCTCCGAGAGTGGCTGCATCAGCTTCCAGAAATCCAGCCTGACCCCAGGAAAGTCCCAGTGAAACCAGGAGGGTTGATAACCCTAGAGGAAAAGTGCCAAAAGGGAGCGGGGAAGCACAGATTAGCCCCCTGCTATAGTGCAGGTCCAGTGCTGGAGACATACTGAGTGAGTCAGACCAAGCTGGGACCAGAAATCAGTGGAACAAAACTGAGGTGCTGGAAGCCTAATTAGCTGTCAAAACAATGAGGCAATGGGGCTATTCTCCACCGCTCCCTCTTGGAGTGCTTATAAGAAATGGCTGCTGTTGAAAAATTGGGATGCCAATGCCACAATTGCTGATTGGCTGAGGGGAGAGGAGCTGCTGTGTCACAGCATCTCCTGGGACCCTGATGTTCACTGTGACTCATCAGCCTGATCATGGAGATGCCCTCACCAGAGTGGGCCAGTGAGAGGGACCAGGTGACATCACCATGGCTCTGGGATGTGAGACTGTGGCAGGGTCGGCACTACAGACTGACACTGGCAGAACGCTGGTGCAAAATCCCCGCCCGAGTGATGTAGTTACCCCGACCTACCCCCATGTAGCCAGCACCACGTCCCTGGGAGAGCTCTGCTGCTGCCAAGCAGCCATCAGGGAGGGGAGCTCACTGCACCGACAGGAGGGACTCTCCTGTGGGCATAGGACTGTTCATTCAGGGCCATCCCTACCCATACACAAAACACGCAGGGCATCCCAACATTCGGAGCACCACATTGCCCTGAATTTCTTGATGCCCAAGGCAACTGCTTGTTGATTATTGGCTCAGCGCTGGCCTGGCTGTCCCCCAGGGCTCAGTGCCCAACCTCTGTTCACCAGGCGGTGGCAAGTAGCCCTTACAGGCAGGAGGACTTGGATGGAGCAGGAGGCGGCTGGAGAGACGTGGCGCTTTCCCCTTAAGAGTGCCTCTTCTCCCTGCCTGGCTGCATGGCCGCCTGCTGCTCCTGCACCGTCCTCCAGGTTGCCAGCTCTCCGGGCTTGGACGGGCTGAGGACTGAGAGAGTTGGCCCTTTCCCCACAGCTTCAGCCCCCATCCCATAGGTACCAGAGCTGGGCTGCGGCTGTGTAGGGCACCAGAACCAGTAGGGATGGCCCTATCCTCGTTAAAGCACTGCCACGGCACAGTGGACCCAGTGCTGCTTGGTGCTATCCATGAAGACAAGTCCTTTGTCACCATCAGCTCGTGTCCTTTTCGTCCGCTACTTTATTTGTTCTCTTTCCTTTTGCTTTCAATCTACTAAAGGGCTGACTCAGGGTCTGTCTAGACTGCAACCCTCTGTCGGCAGAGGGATGCAGATTAGGCAGGTCGACATTGCAAATGAGGCAGGGATTTAAATATCCCGCGCCTAATTTGCAGGAGGCATAAGGGATCTGTTGAAAAAGTCTGTATTTCTCGACAGATCCCCTCTAGACTGCCGCTTTTTGCTGACAAAGTGCTGAGTTGGCAAAATGTGGTGGCCATTTTAATGCAAATTAGGCACGGGATATTTAAATCCCTGCCTCATTTGCAATGTCGACCTGCCTAATCTGCATCCCTCTGCCGACAGAGGGTTGCAGTCTAGACAGACCCTGAGTCAGCCCTTTAGTAGATTGAAAGCAAAAGGAAAGAGAACAAATAAAGTAGCGGACGAAAAGGACACGAGCTGATGGTGACAAAGGACTTGTCTTCATGGATAGCACCAAGCAGCACTGGGTCCACTGTGCCGTGGCAGTGCTTTAACGAGGATAGGGCCATCCCTACTGGTTCTGGTGCCCTACACAGCCCAGCACCCAGGGGAGTGGCTGCTCCACGATACTAGCCTCAGGAACATCCCACAGGGTGAGTTCTGCAGCCAGTTCTGCTTTGCACTGAGAGCATTTCCTCTTTCCCGTTCTCAGTCAGCTTGCCCAAAGACACACATGGCTAAGCCCCGCAGAAAGCGTTTGACGCTGCACCAAGCAGCGCGCTGTAAGGCCCTGGAGTCACCCCCCCAAAGTGCAGCATCACTCTTAGCACAGCTCCAAAGGCCTTGCTGGAGCATGGAGACAGGAGCCTTGCTCCTGATGGGCTCAGGTGCCTCTGCAGATTCTCCAGTGCCAGGCCGTGGTGAAGCTGAGACGTGGGCTGGGATGCAGGACATGCCCTGCTTGCTTGCTTTGCTTTGGACAGTCCAGGGGCTATAAATGGGCCCATCACTGCAGAATGTCACGTATGTCTCCATCCTTAGTCTGGAGGGGAAGGCACGGAGCGGGCGCCCATCGAGTTTGCTGTCTGGCCACGTGTTCAGGAGTTCCTTTCTCCCGCTGGAACAGTCTACAAGGAAGGTCAGGTGAGCGAGGGAAACACTGTTTTCTCGTATTCCAACCAGGCACCAGCATTTCTCCAAATCTAGAGGGAGGGGGAATGAATCAAATTACAGAAAGAAATTGACAAGGCAAGAGATGTGACCTCGGCCCTTCAGCTTCCCTGCAAAGGAAGTTGGAGTAGCTGATCTGTGCAATAGCAAACCATCCCAGAGGCAACTTTGTGGGGCCTGCATTGGGCCCCACAAAGTTGTGGGATCTCCTGGTCAACTTCCTGCTGGCTATCGCCAAGATGGCAATTTATAAAACCAGGGAGCAGACGCTGGCTGAGGGGGGGCCTGCGACTGTGGGGCCTGTTTCCGTTCCTGTATCCGTATTCGAGGGGCAGTGGGTGCTGCTCGGTGTCCCCATGTGGTTCCCTTGTTCTAGCCCTTTGACGCTAGAAAACACCCATCCCTGTTTTCTCTTTATTTGAGAAAAAAAAAAGACAAGTCCCTGCATTGGAACAAATCTGTATTCTCTGGATGTGGACAATGCTGAAGCCTTTCATAGCATCCTCCCTCCAAACTCCTCCAAGCATTTGACAAACATTCATTCATCACCCACCGCTCATAAAGCAGCTACTGTCCCCACTGGACAGAGAGGGAAACTGAGGCACAGGGCTGATGTGACCTGCTGTTGTATTAATTTCAGTGGCATAAATGGGCCCAAATAGGCCAAGGTGTCAACGTGGCCCTATCACTGCCCAACACTGACAGTTAAAATGAGGATTGGGGTTTGGTAGGCAGAGATCTCGCCTGGTTAGCACCATGGCAAACACGCCACTGAGCGGCTCTGCACCCTTCTCTTAAAGATGCAGAAAACAGGAAAGCATTTGACCTGTAAAGTGGGAAGTCAGACTTTCATTGTAACAGTTTCCCGTGTCCCGCTTTCCTTCACCTATGGAGAGCCTTGGGAAGGAAAGATAGTCACAGTCTCTTAGGTCTGCTGGCAATAACTGTGCTTTTTGTGAAACAGAGAAGATGCTTGTTGAGCTGGCTGGAGGTGGGGTTATTGTTGCTGTTGGTAACATCTGATCCCATTTCCTGAAAAAACAAGACACACTCACGCACACACACACAAAGGGAGAGAAAACTGATGGAAAAACACAGGAATGGCATGTGACCTTATCAGCTGCCCTGAGACCTGGCAAACTAGTATTGGTGTCAGGCTGCTTATGACATCTCTTCTAGCTCTTTCAGTCTGTTCTTGGGCTCCTGGCGGTTTTGCAATATCTACACTCCGGGCCACTAAGGATGTGTCTAGACTGCAACCCTCTTTCGGCAGAGAGATGCAGATTAGGCAGGTCGACATTGCAAATGAGGCAGGGATTTAAATATCCCGCGCCTAATTTGCAGGAGGCATAAGGGATCTGTTGAAAAAGTCTGTATTTCTCGACAGATCCCCTCTAGACTGCCGCTTTTTGCTGACAAAGTGCTGAGTTGGCAAAATGTGGTGGCCATTTTAATGCAAATTAGGCACGGGATATTTAAATCCCTGCCTCATTTGCAATGTCGACCTGCCTAATCTGCATCTCTCTGCCGAAAGAGGGTTGCAGTCTAGACACATCCTTAGTGGCCCGGAGTGTAGATATTGCAAAACCGCCAGGAGCCCAAGAACAGACTGAAAGAGCTAGAAGAGATGTCATAAGCAGCCTGACACCAATACTAGTTTGCCAGGTCTCAGGGCAGCTGATAAGGTCACATGCCATTCCTGTGTTTTTCCATCAGTTTTCTCTCCCTTTGTGTGTGTGTGCGTGAGTGTGTCTTGTTTTTTCAGGAAATGGGATCAGATGTTACCAACAGCAACAATAACCCCACCTCCAGCCAGCTCAACAAGCATCTTCTCTGTTTCACAAAAAGCACAGTTATTGCCAGCAGACCTAAGAGACTGTGACTATCTTTCCTTCCCAAGGCTCTCCATAGGTGAAGGAAAGCGGGACACGGGAAACTGTTACAATGAAAGTCTGACTTCCCACTTTACAGGTCAAATGCTTTCCTGTTTTCTGCATCTTTAAGAGAAGGGTGCAGAGCCGCTCAGTGGCGTGTTTGCCATGGTGCTAACCAGGCGAGATCTCTGCCTACCAAACCCCAATCCTCATTTTAACTGTCAGTGTTGGGCAGTGATAGGGCCACGTTGACACCTTGGCCTATTTGGGCCCATTTATGCCACTGAAATTAATACAACAGCAGGTCACATCAGCCCTGTGCCTCAGTTTCCCTCTCTGTCCAGTGGGGACAGTAGCTGCTTTATGAGCGGTGGGTGATGAATGAATGTTTGTCAAATGCTTGGAGGAGTTTGGAGGGAGGATGCTATGAAAGGCTTCAGCATTGTCCACATCCAGAGAATACAGATTTGTTCCAATGCAGGGACTTGTCTTTTTTTTTTCTCAAATAAAGAGAAAACAGGGATGGGTGTTTTCTAGCGTCAAAGGGCTAGAACAAGGGAACCACATGGGGACACCGAGCAGCACCCACTGCCCCTCGAATACGGATACAGGAACGGAAACAGGCCCCACAGTCGCAGGCCCCCCCTCAGCCAGCGTCTGCTCCCTGGTTTTATAAATTGCCATCTTGGCGATAGCCAGCAGGAAGTTGACCAGGAGATCCCACAACTTTGTGGGGCCCAATGCAGGCCCCACAAAGTTGCCTCTGGGATGGTTTGCTATTGCACAGATCAGCTACTCCAACTTCCTTTGCAGGGAAGCTGAAGGGCCGAGGTCACATCTCTTGCCTTGTCAATTTCTTTCTGTAATTTGATTCATTCCCCCTCCCTCTAGATTTGGAGAAATGCTGGTGCCTGGTTGGAATACGAGAAAACAGTGTTTCCCTCGCTCACCTGACCTTCCTTGTAGACTGTTCCAGCGGGAGAAAGGAACTCCTGAACACGTGGCCAGACAGCAAACTCGATGGGCGCCCGCTCCGTGCCTTCCCCTCCAGACTAAGGATGGAGACATACGTGACATTCTGCAGTGATGGGCCCATTTATAGCCCCTGGACTGTCCAAAGCAAAGCAAGCAAGCAGGGCATGTCCTGCATCCCAGCCCACGTCTCAGCTTCACCACGGCCTGGCACTGGAGAATCTGCAGAGGCACCTGAGCCCATCAGGAGCAAGGCTCCTGTCTCCATGCTCCAGCAAGGCCTTTGGAGCTGTGCTAAGAGTGATGCTGCACTTTGGGGGGGTGACTCCAGGGCCTTACAGCGCGCTGCTTGGTGCAGCGTCAAACGCTTTCTGCGGGGCTTAGCCATGTGTGTCTTTGGGCAAGCTGACTGAGAACGGGAAAGAGGAAATGCTCTCAGTGCAAAGCAGAACTGGCTGCAGAACTCACCCTGTGGGATGTTCCTGAGGCTAGTATCATGGTACAACGTGAGAAAGGTTCAGGCCTTTCTGTGGCCAAGAGTGACACCTCCAGGCTACCTGAGGTGGGATAAAGGACAGGGGCCATTAATCTTCATGCTTCATAAACTAAATGCCTGGTGACAATAGGAATAAACTTCCCTCCCGTGTGGTGGCTTGGATCAGATTGGCCAGCGCTTTGCCCCCGGCCAGCAGTTCTTGTGTTAGTGGTGAATGCAAAAATGTGAGTCCTTGGCCCAGTGTGTAGAACAATGGGTGTGTTTGTGTCTTTGCTCCAGAAGCATCCCAAAAGGTCTAACAAAGCAGAGATACTATAGAAATCACCCAGCACTGAAACGCAGCCTCCTCTGGGGAGAAACGTGGCTTAACTGCACAGCAAACCTGTACCAAATACTTCCAGGCAGGAGGGAAAGGGCAGAAAGGGAGAAGCTGGATGATGGGTTCCATAGCAAGAGGCTGGATTGCGCAGGTCCCTACGTGTTCATTCCTAGATTATTGGGTGGAAAGTAGTTTAGAAGTGCGTTAATATTGGACAGCTAAGTCCTGTTCCCACTGCTGCTGGACCCATGGCACCTGTCTAGGGCGTGGCTTGGAGGTTACATGGCTCCTGAGCTTTCTGCCCATCTAAGCCAGGTAACGTAGAGGACTGATGGGAACCATGTCCAGCCAAACTGGGGAGGAGAGAGGCGGCAGAGGGAGGAGCGGTGTGTGGGGAGGGTGGGGTACTGAAGGCTGTGCTGAAATTGTAGGCTAGTGCTTGAAGAGCGTGTGGGCGGGGAGAGGTGTTTCCGGTGCTGCTCGCAGGGTGGGAGGCTGAAGTTCTGTAGGGACACGTGTGGCCTGGCTTAGTCTGGACCAAGGCAGGGTGCACAGTGTTACCTTAGGACGCAGCCTACTCTTTCTCTCGGAGGTGGGTTACGGTGTGTTCTCGCTCGGGTAGTGTGGTGGGGCCTTTCTCTAACTTCTCAGGGCGGGGGAGGACTGGAAATGTAACGCAAGGCAAATGGGGTGAGCTTGTGCCCTCTCCACCTGAGGAAGGAATCTCACCAGTGGGGATTCGCTCATCTTCCGTCACCCAGCTGGGGAGGATGCTGGAGGACTGTTGGGCTGTTATTTAGTGTTACTGGTTGCTGTAGCCATTTGGGCATCCTGCTGCCATCATGCAAACGCTACAGCTGCTAATGCCCCGCTCTGAGCTAACTGAGAAATCCACAGGGAAGCCCTCGCAGCTGGCCCAGGCAGAGGCTCTCCCCACGCTATCCCAGAGAGAGCCTAGCAGCCGGGAGGTCAGCTATGTTCTGGCTCTGCCAGGCAGGCAGGAAGTTCCAGAGCTGAGAACCCCTCCTCAAGAATGCCTGCCCCTAGCCACGCTGAGGGGCTGTTCGTGTGAGTGCCGAAGAGAATCTTTCCCAGGGGAGAGGGAACTGGCCTCAGCTCCTTTGCAGCGGGTTAAAGGTAACAGGCAGGATTCCTGGGCCCCTGACAGACCAGACTGGCCCCAGCTGGCCCCCAAACATGGGTGGAGCCAAGGTGACTGTAACTTTGCCCTGACCCCTTCTTGGGTTGAGCTCAGTAGATCTCAAGCATCTGTACCTGATACCAGAGAGGGTTGGCAAGACCCTGCCAAGAATCCCCGCCCTGGGATATCTATGCTTGATCACGACTCAGCCATGTAGGTTCACACAAATACAGTTTAACTTTATGTATTTGTGGGACAAAACCCTACAGACTGCATCACGGTGCTGGAGTAGGGGACCAACTGAGCCCTGTGACAAGGAGTCCTGGAGCACCGGATAGACTAACAGATGTGTTGGAGCATAAGCTGATGAAGTGGGTCTTTGCCCATGAAAGCTTCTGCTCCGCTACATCTGTTAGTCTCTGAGGTGCCACAGGACTCCTTGTCGCTTTTGCAGATCCAGACGAACACGGCTCCCTCTCTGATACTTGAGAGGGGGAGCCGTGTTCATCTGGATCTGCAAAAGCAGCAAGGAGTCCTGTTAAGTACCCAGTGTGGGGGAGGGAGTCCCCTAAAATGAGCGCCGGGCAGGTGGTCAACCTAAGAAGCAGCCCAGCTTTGGCTGCCTTAAATCCTCAATGCATCTTGGGCTGTACCGTGCCCAGCTGCTGGGGCTGTTCTCAGTGCATGTGTGAATAAGGGGTGTCTGTGATCAGTGCTAGTGTGGCTGGCTGCACAGAGCACTGGCCTGCTGGTTGCCCTGGGCAAGGCACGCAGCCTCTCTGCCCGGTTCCCCTGATGGGCTTTGAGAGCTCCGCTACAGAGGGGACGGGCAATTAGATGCTCTTTTTTCCTGCCATGGGCATGTGCAGCTGGCTGGATGCCACTAGGAGTCACTGTTTTACCAGGCATGGTGGTTTGCTTTCCTCAGCCTGGACTCCAGCTGGTGAGAGGCAGCTGTGACAGGACTGTGGTAGCTGTGCTCCAGAAACCCAGCCTGAGCCTGCAGCCAGGCACAAACTGGAGCACCCACGGGACACAGGCCCTAGCCACATACCTGGAGGAGCCTCTGCACAGCCCTCTGGAGCTTATGCCAGAACGGCTGGAATGGTGCATCCTGTAGCTTGCACCTTTCGATGAAAGGGCTCTGGGCTTAGCTCTTTGAAGCACGGGCTTCCTTAGTGTGTGTACAGCAGCTGGCACAGCAGGGCTCCAAGCTGGTTGGAAACCTCTGGGCTAGCGATGAGCAACCTAGGCTTGTGAGTGGCTTCACAAGTGGCCTCCTCCCTCCTCGTGGGCTGCAAAAGTGTCGTGAGCCAGGGCAGTTTGCTAGCGGCGCTTGCGAGCCTGGCGCGCTGGGCCTGGCGCTTGCGGGGGTCGGGGGTCACGGCGCTGGCCGGGAGGAAGGGGGGCCGGAAGCACAGATGGGGGAGGGGCAGTGGCGCTGGCTGGAGGAGATCAGGAAGAGGAACGGGCCGGCGGGAAGCAGAGCTGGGAGGGGGCAGGGGGCCTGGCCGGGGGAGATCAGGAGGGGAAGTGGGGGAGAACAGGCCGGCCCGGAAGAGGGGGGTGAGCCAATTGGCCGGCGGGGGGCAGCACTGACCCGG